GTGGCCGGGTGTGCGGCGTGTGGTCGCCCTGCCCCCCCCCCCCCTCCACTCCGTGAACAGCCTTCTAGCATTCTTGCTGCTTTCCACACACAAAGCACCAATTTGGTCTTTGCCCAGATTACTTTTATTTCAAATCAAGGAACCCCACAAAGAAAAATTGTCTAGGAATGTAAAGATGCAGTGCAGAGAACACAAAATCGTAATGGGACTAGATACAACTCAGTCATCTCATCCTATCAGAAAAGGGCGGTGTAAATAAAAACAAGCCAAGGGGGCCCCTGAATGAAGCCTCTGGAAAAAGGAAGGGTTCAGAACAATCAGAATGCAGAATAATCATCATGAATAGCAACCAATTATCACAGCCACTAGGAATAGACTATTGAGCTGCATTGTGGATTCACTTATTAATACCTTCTATGGGCCAAATTTTAGCAAGACTGATCCAAATAAAAAAAAAAAAAAAAAGTGCCATTGGGTTCAGTGTTTATTCACCTTAGAAGATAGTGCTCCACAGAGTGGTGCTATGGCTAAACTCTTCCCCACCTCCCACGTTGGCGCACTACTTGCAGAGCTCTGCCCTGACTATTGGATCTGAGTGCCATGTTCTGTTGGAGACTCTTAACCTGTATATTTTAATATAAGGATCTGCGCTTAGAGTCTTGGTGATCTTATGCAATGTAGATTATGAGAACATCATGCATTTCTCTTCCATACTTGAACATCCCCACAGGAGCAGAAGGGGAGGCAAGGGAACTGCACAGAGGCAGTGGTTATGTCTGCCTGCCCTAGTTTCTTCCACTATTTGATCTGAGGAAGTGGGTCTGGCCCACGAAAGCTCATCACCTAATAAACCATCTTGTTAGTCTTTAAAGTGCTACATAGTCCTGTTTTTTGTTCCACTCTAACACAATGATCTTTCCCTCCCCCAGAGCCAGAATCCCTCAGGTCCCGCTGCTGTAACCCACCCCTCCCTCAGAACCAGGCACTCCCCACCCGCCTGCTCTAACCCAATGTCCCACCCCTTCCGCAGAGCCAGGGACATAACCTACCAGGGTGGAGGGTAACGCTGTGACTCCATGGGAGGAGCCAAACCAGCCACACACACACTGGATCTGCCCTGGGACTCACCAGAGCTCCCACCACTGTGGCCATGTGCTTTTCCTGCCAGGCACTGGGGCACATGTGCAGAGCAGCCATTAACGGTCCAGGCACATGGCTCCAAATGTTCAATTTGACAGACCCGTGCCCCGGCCTCCTCCCCAATGCCCTTTGCAGGGCAAAATCCTGGACATTTTTAGCCATTTAAAAAACCTGTCCGGATGGAGATTTCAGAAGTGAAAAGGAGGACATGTCCGGGAAAAAAACGGACGTATGGTAACCCTACCATAAGTTCTTCCCTGTGTTAAGCTAATTTTTCTGACTGGTCCAGTCCTTCATCTATATGATGTTAGCTCTTCTCCAAATTCTCCTAGTGAACCTAATTTTACATTCCTTAAGTTACAGTTTCTTAGACAGTTCCTACAGTATGAATATACATCTCAACATCTGAAAAAAAAAAAAAACCTTTAAGAAAGATATTGTATAATTTTCAAAATTATTTTGAAAGTTAATATTTTATACTGAAGGAAAGCATTATTTCAACATTATACAATAAAATGAAGATCCACTAGTGTAGACAATGTACCTTTAAGGTAATAACTCTGTAGCCTAAAATGGAATAGAAAATACTGTCATTGTCCTAATCTCATCTGAATCATTCCTTCTGTTCTCTTACCCGCCTCTGTTCCCTCAGCTCCCCAGGGCCTATCTCTCCAAGAAGAATCTGAGGGCAAGGAGAAGGTATGGATGATCATTAGCGCCAGAAAGAACTTGCAGGACTGAGATGAGTATGAAGAAAGGCATGGAGGGAGTAGAGGAGTCAAAGCAAACAATTCATAAAAAGTGGCAGAATTTTAGCAGCTTCCATCATCTTCACTGCAGACTATTGTTTAAGTCACAATTTATATTAATTGAACAATGTGTTCCCAGAGGAGGCTTCCATCACTCCACACTGGTAGTAGAATGGGAATTTATGCAGAATCTCTCTTGTTGTGGCAAATATCTAATAGTCAATTGAAGGCCTTTTATTTGCAAGCTGGCTGACATCATGTACTGAAGATTAAAGCCACTGGCCTTCTAATAATCATGGGACAATCTCATCAGCTGGCCACATGTAGACATTTAAATGTCGTGGTTAGAAATTGGGTTTTACTCTTAAAATACAGTACCTGCTCATATATTACAAACTTTCTGACTGGAACCAATGGAAGCTGACAACGGAAGCTGAAATATCAAACTCCAGGAATTCTTTCCAGAACTTAGAGTAAAATCAATTACAAAGATAACTTCCTGTTGAGAGGTCTGTCCCATTTCCCTTCAACATCCCTTGCTAGAATGCTGGAAACTCTGAACACTCCATTAAACACCTGCATTGCTGTCATTTTACTATTTGACTTTATTATAGTTGCACATTTGCTCTAGCACCCTGATCAGTAACAGTGTACTTCAGAAGTCCTACCAGTTGCTTCTGTGCTAGCTGACATCCCTTAGCTGGAGTGGCACAGGCTTCTGCAGGTTCCTCCTGAGCAAAAATGCTTTTCTCTGTAGTGTTTTCTTCCAAATGATCACTCATTTCAAGACACTAAAAAAAAAAAAAAAAAAAAAAAAACCATCAAAAGAGAAATATACAGGTGGGACAACCACTGACTTATTACAGGGATCTTGTCAAACTTTTAAAATTGACCAGCTGGTATATATCTCAGACCCTCAGGCTACCTCTACACTGCAGGCTTCTTGCGCAAGAACAGCTGGGTGTCTACACTGCATGCGTGTTCTTACGCAAGTAAATTTACAATACAGTGTCGGAAAACAGGGCTTCTTCCAGAAGAGTTATTCCTCTCCCCATCAGGAATAAGCCCTCTTGCACAAGAGTTCTTCCACAAGAAGGCAGTGTAGACAGGTAACATGAAGGTCTTGCGCAAGAAACCCTGATGGCTAAAATGGCCATCAGAGTTTTCTTGTGCAAGAGAGCGTCCACACTGCCATGAAAGCTCTTGTGCAAAAGCACATGGAAGTGTGGACGCGTTCTTGTGGAAGACCTTTTGCACAAGAACTCTTCCGCAAAACAGTTCTTGCGCAAGAAGCCTGCAGTATAGACATAGCCTCAGAGATTCTGTACCCATATTACTCACTGAAAGAAATGTGTCAGCATCAGGTTCTATTTTACAGATGTTGCTAAAACTTTAAAATGAATATAAAACCTAGAAACATATTGAAGGTAAGCTATTATTAATAAATTAACTACAAATATAATGCTATCAAATCAGAATCAAATAAAGACCTAATCAGCAAATCAAACAAGTTAAACATTGGGTTGAAGTTAGATCATCAAATTAATACCAAAATAATTAATCCTCATATAAATGTTAAGGTGTCTGAGAATGTGTTTATTCAGCCAGATGTGTATCCCAATTTAAGAGTTTTATCATAGATTCAAATTACAGATCTGATTAACTGATTTAAAAGCCTAATATTGAAACAAAATTATTACCAAATGTCTGAACCTCAATCTCAGAGCTATTACACAGCATCTTCTCTTCACATGTGAAAGCTAAGCTTTCTTTCCCCAATGAAGATATTATTCTACAAACATTTAACAGAACACTCTCCATATGCAGACGTTTAACAACTCTTATGTACTAAAAATTTCAGGTGATAATCTAAAGTCTTTCAACTTTTAAACACAGAGCACACTATAATGAGTGTCTTTATCAGAAAATATTTAGGTCTGTTTAAACATGGGAAATGTTTATTTCTCACATTTTCCCCCAGGATGGTTTTCTTGGTGGATATGTATGACACCCACAGGCAGAACTAAACCTGGGACCATAAGCCTCGACAGCCAGAGCTCACTCATTCTTATCTCTCCCCTGTAAGTGGTCTAAGTGGCATTACATGGTACACTGAACCACACCCAGTAGGTGTGTGGGATGATCAATATTTAACATCCCTAGCATGTGTAACTGAACAGTCAAGTAACCTCAACAATTATTATTGGTTACTTGACTATTCTACAGTCCCTGTGGGCGGGGCTGGCAGCCAGTGCGCTCCAGCTCCACTCCCGAGGAGCCCCCTGCCACTCGGTGTCAGGCAGAAGCTGATCTGCAAGCAGAGCCCGCTTAAATGTTTGCAAACTCTTTGGCTCTCTCAGTCTTCCCAACTCTCTAAGAGCCTGGGTGCAGACAAGGAAACAATGATGCCAATCAAAAACACTTCTCATTAGCAGGCCTTTTTTAGGTGCTAGCAGAGACCGAGCTGGTTTGTTCACTGCTGCCATGACCTGCTCTCCCCAAAACGATCAGACCTGAAGACTCTGAAACACCAGTTTCCTCTGACATCTTGTTAACCCCAAAAGACACAACTCTTCTTAGCCTTATCCCTAATTGTCACAACCTTGGAGAGAAGGCTTCAGACAAATCAGACTCAAGGACTAGCTTGGTGCTATTATACAATATGATTCAATTAACTCTGTATTAGAATTCTGTTAGTAAGCATCATCTTGGGGAAAGTCTTGTTTAAGTTAGCAATTTAAAAATATTCTGTATTTTCCATATTACAGAGAATGTTGGTCTGTGACTCACACACAAAATATCAAAAAATTCAGGCACCTAAAACCACTATTGATGAAGCTAGCACAGTTTTACCTGAATTCAATGTCTCAAAAGAACATTAGGTCACCAGTTAATGAAAAATTCATTATAAATCTCCTATAAAAACAATGGGGAAAACCTAGGCACCACACAACACAGCTGAGTTACTCAACAGTCCTTCCTCAGCAAAATAAGAAGCCTTCTGAAAGGCATCTATCAAGTTACATATGTATATAAGTCCCACTACAGTGCGAAAACATGTCCTCAGGAGTCTTTTTTTATATATGCCCTGTTTTATTTTATACTGGGTTCCTTCTTTCTGAGGAGTTATGCCTCTTAATCTTATCTGGAAATTGTCAGGCACTAGCATTTGTTTTATTACTTCATCCCACACTGACTTATTTTCATCCCACAGTTGTTTTCTCTAGTGATGAACCCATCATTCCTCCTTGGCAATTTTTTTAGGAGGGGGACATAGCGTGTGGACCTGATTTATGAGACCAGTTCTGCCACACTTAGTCACACTGAGAGACACCTTGCTCCAAAGTGACTTGCATAGTATTTATGATAAGGTGCTACTCAGCCTGAGTGGCAAAATTGGGTTCTTAAGCATATTTGGGCCTGATTCTCACTTGCCTTGTGTAATGCCACCAGGCGGAACCAAACCTGGGACTCTGGAGCTTCATGCATGAGCCTCTACAGCTTGAGCTAAAAGTTGGTTGGCTCTCAGTTAATGCTGTAGAGCTCACTCATTCGCTTGCTCTCTGCAAGTGGTCTAAGTGGGACTACATGGGACAGTGAACCATACCCACTAGGTATGTGGGTTATAGTTGCACCTTGCATAGTCATTAACAACAACATAAAAGAAGTGTAACATCCTACCAGATCAAAATAGCAGTACAGTGTGCTCACTTTGCAAGGATGTAAATGACTGCCAGAAGTCCAGGATAACAGAGAACCAGGCCCACTTCTGTTTAAACAAATCTCCCTCCAGTAGTTCATCTTCTCCCCCTGACTTGGTTCTGCTGTTGAGCCATAATAATGGATTCATCTCGTGGCAGTCACTTTCAACACCAGGTGGAGTTGGTGTATTGCAATGCAAACTGTTCTATGACTTCATCGCACTGTAGCAGTGTGTATCTCATGACAGCATTGTGAATTCCCCTGCAAAAGGAAGTCTAAGCTATGATAAGAAAAAAAAAACCCTGTATCAAATCCAGATATAAATCAAAATGGGAGTTCAAAAAGTTATTTTGGTGTAATGTATTTTTATACAGGCTGGACCTCCCTGGTCTGGCACCCTCGGGACCTGAGGGGTCCCAAACCAGGGAGTTTGCTGAACCAGGGGAGGTCAGTGCTCCCCTGCTGGCTGCTCCACTCCCAGGCTCCTCTCCCTGGAGCTCCCAAGGCTGGGCTCCCACCCTGCTGCCTGCGCACTGCTGCCAGAGCTCCCTGGCACTGGGGGTTCCCTGGGCTTCCCAGCTGACGCTCCTCTGCCGCCAGTGATTCTTGCTCCCACCAAATGTTCCCTTGCCAGGGCCATCTGGCCACCCCAGCCCTGCTGCTATTGAGGATCCCCAGATTTCCCAGACAGGGCTCCTGGGCTGCCTGGCCCTGCTGCTTCTGAGGGTTCAATGGGGTTCCCTGTTCTGGGAGTGCCTGGCTCCTGGGGTCCCTGCTGCTGGGGGTTGTCACTAATTCCAGTGGTTCTCTGGCATGGGCCAGATTCCCCAGCCTGGCTGAGGTTCCACTGCCTGGCCCAGCCATTGTGGTGTTCTCACAGCTGGCTCCCACTCCTGGCTTCCTGAGCTCCTTGGTCCAGCAACATTCGGGGCCCTTACCATTGATGGTGCCAGACCAGACTCCCGGATTTGGGAGACTCATCTTGTATAAATTTAAATGTACGATAGCTATCATCTCCTTGTTTTCCTCAATCTAATCTCAAAACAGACAATTGTTCCTATTCTTTTGCAAACAAAGCAATCACGACAATCTTCCTATTTTGGAACTAGTCTACAAGTGAGACAATTGATCTTCTGAAACCTAATTCTTGATACTGAAAAATTACTCTTAACGCTCATCAAAGCTTCTAGAGATCCACATGACTTACTGACTTGCATCAGTTTTTTCAGGTACAGATTGCTAACTTGCCATTAGATGAAACAAAATACAGAACTATGTAGCACTTTAAAGACTAACAAGATGGTTTATTAGATGATGAGCTTTCGTGGGCCAGACCCACTTCCTCAGATCAAATAGTGGAAGAAAATAGTCACAGCCATATATACCAAAGGATACAATTAAAAAAAAATGAACACATATGAAAAGGACAAATCACATTTCAGAACAGAAGGGGGATGCGGGGGGAAAAAGGGGGGAGGTAAATGTCCTCCTTCTGTTCTGAAATTTGATTTGTCCTTTTCATATGTGTTCATTTTTTTTAAATTGTATCCTTTGGTATATATGGTTGTGACAATTTTCTTCCACTATTTGATCTGGGTCTGATTTTAGCATGAATGACAGTTCAGAGGATTCCCTTTCAAGTGCAGATTTGAATGTCACTTGAAAGGGAATCCTCTGAACTGGCATGCATGCTAAAATTCGACACTCTCCGCGGGGGGGTGGGGGGGGCTGAACAAAGACTCCAGCTATCTTACCCATTACAAAGATAGCTTCCCCAATTATCACCTCTAATACTATTAACTCACAGACATCTACCCTTCACCACCTCTAATATCATTATCTCACAGGCATTCACCTTCCTTCCCCCTTCTGTTCTGAAATGTGATTTGTCCTTTTCATATGTGTTCATTTTTTTTTTAATGGTATATATGGCTGTGACTGCTTTCTTCCACTATTTGATCTGAGGAAGTGGGTCTGGCCCACGAAAGCTCATCATCTAATAAACCATCTTGTTAGTCTTTAAAGTGCTACATAGTCCTGTATTTTGTTTCAGCTATACCAGACTAACACGGCTACATTTCTATCACTATTGCCATTAGATGTCACTGTTGTCCTACATATGTACCATAGTTCATGCAATTTCTTTAAAAAGCTTTCAGTGTAAGCAAATTAATTGGTATGCATGCTATAGTTTGTCATATTTTCATAGACCGCCAAAGGATGTGCCATGATAATATATGCTACAATGCTACCATTCCAGACATCATCACAACAATTCACCAATGTACTAGAGGCTCTAAATGATGGGTGAGATGAAAACTCTTTGCCTGTTAAACCCACGCCTTTCCATTTTACACTATTTTTGCTTATACTTGGAGTCTACTGTTATGATTAATGTAAAATGCATCACTCCCTCTGCTAATAAAACACCAGGAGATACCCATGGATATAATCAGCCAACCAATACACTTATTCACCATCACCCACTCCTTCATCACTCGCTATCAGACAACTCTCCCCGCACAAGGATAAAGGGAGAATTGCATATGATGGATGCTGGTCTTGCCACTTAATGCACCTATGGAAGGGGCTTAGAAATCAAGGCGTAGGGCACAGTGTATGAATCTGAATCACCCCTACAACACACATTTTGCAGCCACCCACCATTCCTTATTCTCCACCAAATTCCCATTCATTCTTCCATCCTGCACTTGCTGGGGAATCATCTCAGCACTCTCCCCAGTGTGCTGCTAGGGTCTGTCTGCCCTTCACCTCCCCATAGGGGCATGAGGCTCCCCAATCTGCTCATGGCTCTCCCAGGGTGCCCCACACTATGGGTCTCTCACACTCGGAGGGTTTTTAAGTCCTTTATATGGGGTGTCTCAGGCCATTTCCTCCTGGTGGTGGACAGTCTCTCTGATTTCCCCCCAAAACATTTCCTCCTGGTGGTGGACAGTCTCTCTGATTCCCCCCCAAATCCTGCCGCAACAGTCTCGCAAGGACCCCCTCCCCCCGCGTCCGCTATGAGGTGGCTGTCTCCATATTGCTCGAGCTCCCCCCGCCCCCCCCAAAAAAAAGATCTTTATTGGGCCCCTTCTCTGGGGGCAGGCGTGGGAAGTGGTGCAGACAGGATTGCTCTATTTTACCTGCCTTATTTTCCTTCTATAAGTGACTGCAGAGAGGTAGGGAGCTGACAGGCCCAGTCAAGAAGACAGATGCCTGAAGTCTCCCTGCCTATAGCTCCCCCTGCAGGGCAAGAAGAAAAACTTGCGGCATAGCCCATAAAGCACTTGAGAGGCTTCCTTACAGAGAGGTGAAAGGGAGGTGAAAAAGAACAAAAGGAGCTGTCGCTTCTTTGCCAGATTTCTAACTCAGCAGTTCTAATCTCAGCTTTTTCCATACCAGGATCCTCTTTCCCCTCCCTCAGAACATCCCTCCAATTTTCCCAGGCCTCTGCCCATTGCCATTATGGGATATGTAGGATGGTTTCAATCCCCTGACATGCCTTCATATTCCCACCCCAGACTGAAAACCCATGCCGTCTAGATCAAAGAAAAGGTCAGCCCTTTGTTTATATTAGGGCTAGAATTCCCAGTCAGAATTCACCATGCTTCCCTTTAATTCCACCCCTTCATCCAAAGCACTTCACACGGGTAGATAAGTATTCTCCCTGCATTATGGTGCATACTGAAATTAAAAAGTCAGAATTTTCCCAAATGGCCAGTAATTTTGGGTGCCCAACTTGAGAGACTATTGTCCTGATTTACAAAGTTGTTATGTATGCAGAGCTCCCAACAACTTCTGCTGAAGTTATAGATGTGCAGCATCTCTGAAAATGGGGCTTTAATGGTTTCTCCTCATCCACCAAAAAACAGTACCCACTTGTTGAAACATTGGCCTAAATTGAACAAGATAGCAATTCTCCACTTGTATTACTGATCTGCTCTGTGACTTTGGGTCAGAGCAAGCAATTCTCCACTCCACTAGTGACTGTCTCATTCCTTAAAGAAATACATTTTGGCATTTTTTTTCACATCACGAAGAAAATGTCTTCTACAAAAAAGTACAAATCCCCGTGTCCTCTATTAATTCTAAAAATAAAAGTGCCAAATTGTACTGTGCAGCAGAGATATTCACAGAAGAGGCACAGAGGGACCAAGGAACACTGAGGTTCATGGTCCTTAAGATTCACCACACTTAGTTTCCCTCCTTTAGAAGTGGGATAAGGGATACTGAGGCCTACATAGGACTGAGGATAAAAACTCTCAAGAAGCTATGCACTGCTGGAGTATTTGTCCTGTTCCTGTGAAGGTCTCTTCCTCTGCGTGTTCCAAACCCCTCTACCCCTCTTTTGTACAGGCACAACTTTTTAGCACATCAAGCCAGAGTTAATGTTGTTTCAGGGAGTATTAATGTCCCTTTGAATTTCCATTTTGAAATCTGCATGTACAAAGAAAGCAGTCAGTTGTATTCCACCGCCTATTATCTCACCTCCCTCTCAAAATATTGGTCTTGCATACAGCTTGATGTGAATAAGTATTTCTTCGCTGTGAACGTGCATTTTGTAAGGTTGCCGCGTTTCATAGTGAAATTGCTTATTGACAAGATTCTTAACATTTCTTCATGTTCTGGTATAAATCAGGCCTGAGCTTAGCTTAAACTATGTAAGCCTGAACACTCCTGTCATTGGACCAGTACAGAGGAGACCCTCCTCACAGATCTACCCCCAACCCACACAAATATAGATTGGACTCATGTTTGTGTAACACCATCTTCCTCCTATCCTCAAAACTGCAGAGATCTCTGTGGGCCCAGGGATCAACAGCTGATGTCACACATACATCACACCTCTCAAACTCTACAGGAAATAGGACTTACATTTAATCACGCATGAGCATGAAATAACTTTTCCATAGCCTTCTTTGCACTTGGAAATGCTTTATGAGAGTGTGAAGGAAGGGGAGGTGTTCTGGGGGTGAGCTGCCATTTAGTGGTTCCCTGACAGCATAGTTCCAAATAGAGTTGTGTTTCCTGAGTCAAGGAGGGGCCTCCAGAGCCAGGGTGGAAGCAGAAAACATATGCAAGGGTTGCCCTTGCCTCCTGAGGGTCTGACGGTATCCAAAGAACCCATAAGATGTAGAGACAGAACAATGGCCCATTCTGTGGGAAGAACAGGGAAAGCAACCCTTACCATCTCCCAACAGAACAACGAGGTGGGCACTCTGCAATAAGCTCCTTGTTGATATTTTGTCCCCATACATCCTTTCTCTGGTTATTTCTGCCACAGCAGGATGTGATAGGCCTTTTAATTAGGTTTGAATTCTGCAGGATGATCTGTATAATTATTCTGGGTTTCATTTGACAAATAGGAGAGGCAAACTGCAGTTTGAAGGATTATGTTTCCAACTCAGAATAGTTACTGAGGGGGAAAAAAGGTTTTCCAAAATTTTAAAGTGTACTTACCCACCAAACAGCCTGGCACACAGAAGAAAGATTACCTTTACTGCTGCACAACTGCTCTGATAGTGAGATCCTGACATCAGCCCCAGAGTGACTGAAATAGTAAGCCAAGCATCAAAATAATGGTCCCAAGAGGATAGCACTGAAGACAATGCCAGGTAAAAGTCTTAAAGGACCTCATCTTCACCTCATTATTTACAGTCCTTTTAAGTACTTAGCATACAACACATAAAACTGGGAAATCCATTTAAACTTGGATCTGATACTTCATTTCTTCATTTCATCACACTTTCATTTTTTGCTTTTGATTTATAGTTTAGTTTACAATTAAACCAAAAGAAACAATTCACACTGATTTTGACGCTTTCGGGAGTTTTTCAAATTTCCAGTATATTGAGATCAAGGATGATTTTTTTCTGTCATTTTTCCGATCATTTTCCCCTATCACTTTGAAAGAACAAATTTAAGATGATGAAAACCTCATGAATTATAAATACTGGTCATTACTCAGTGTACTGCTATCATGCTAAATTCTCATCTATGTGCAAACAAATAGTTATGGTAAATCCAGCACAATCTTCATTAGCTCAATCCATTCCCTCTTTAAGGCATTTACTACAGCTCAGCCTAAGAGCAAGTTAATTTAACCTCTTAAAGATATACAATATCCTATTTTATTTTTATATTATTTTCCTTTCTTTTGACCATTATTACAATCAAGTGCTGACATAAAATGTAGAGGAAATAGATTACCAAGCAGATTTAAAAGACACTATGTGAATAGTCTTGTTGTATTGCATTTGGGTTCCTTTGTCGTGAAAAATAAACCACAAATCCCTCTTGGGGAAAAATTATAAAATCTCCGAAGTGCTCGTGACTGTAATTTAATCCTTGCTACAATAACAGGAGAGAAAAGGAATTACAATGTGAATCTGTTGGTTTTATTCTCCATAATGAATACAATTAATTTGAGAGGAAAGCTGTCTCAAACTGAAAATTAAGATTTTTCTCTGAATGTAGAGTAGGAAGAAACAATGGTTATCAGGTAGATTAGTTGAACAATTAAAACTGAATTTAGTGTTTTATGTGTGAAACCTCAGACTGATAATTTTCCTCTAGGTCAGACTCTTCCGCTCCATTATTATTAAGTAGTGTTTTATGTGTGAAACCTCAGACTGATCATTTTCCTCTAGGTCAGACTCTTCCACTCCATTATTATTAAGTATATACAGTGCCAGAGCACACAAGTCTTAACTTTTTGCAACAATGTAAGTGATCATGAATTATGACACCTGAATCACGGTAAGCACAACTTGCAATCTTGAAAATAACACAAATTCACCCCCTCTCTCATGAAAGAGCATGCAGGATTATAAAGATGTCTTGCATGATGTGATACAGATGTCCTTAACAATAAAGAGCAAGGGAGGAAAGCCCATAAACTATTTAATACATAAACAACAATATTTCTAAATAGCAGGTTGTTTAAAATTCTTTTAAGCTTCTTGGCTTTCCTCTAACAGTCATGGGGCTACTCTTCTCTACTCCCATTTACCTATTTACAACCTCCTCCCGCCCACCCAACCTCAGTCTCATTCTCTATGACATCCTCTGTCCCCTGGATTATTGAAGGAGACTTAGGCTTTCAGGGGACTCAGACAGCATGAAGTGGCAACTTTCCTTTCCTGACTTGTGCTGGGACAGCCTAACTACCAAAATGCTCCAAGGCCTTCTGTTGCCCAGATCACTGATCTAACACCCAACCTTTTTGGAGGACCCATAGTCTAACCAGTCTTGTTGTGGCCATTTTCAGCAAGGGTAGATGGGAGTTTTGCAGGCTCATGACCCACCAAGTTAAGTTAAAGGATACAGAATATCCTGTTTTATTTTGGAGCTATAATCTAAACATCATTCAGATGTGAAACTAGATTACTATCACCTCACTCTGCTTGTTTATGCAGGTAGGTATGACTTTTAAAAAGATTCAGAGGGGTATCCGAGTTATTCTGTACAGGATAAACATAAAAAACAACAAATAGTCTGGTAGCACTTTAAAGACTAACAAAACATGTAGATGGATGTTTACATTGCACTAGAAAGACTTTATTCTGAAGGCACATGGAACTATCTAATTTCTCCATGTGTTTTCTTCAGTCTTCCCCAATCCCAACACCCTCCCCAGTAAAATTAAATAAACATAAAAAATAACTTAGCTGTAGCACTGAAACATTCTCATTGCTTCTGCTGCCTGAACAACAAGACACAACTGACTGGTGTTTTGCCAATTAATGCCACTGGCGCAGCTGAGGTGTGCTTTAATAAGCATTGCTGC